AAGTACTGATCAGTAGCCCCTCCCTCTCTCTCTCTCTCTCCCCAGAAGGTAGCACTGAAGTGAGAAGCCATTTTGGTCATGTATCTCTCCATGATGTAGTCCACAGTAGTTTACCACGTTGGGATCCGATTAGTTCTCTCTCATATTACTCTCTCTCTTACTACCAAGTTGGGATCCGATCAGTTCTCTTTCTCATCATTACTCTCTCTTCCTCCTCGAGTGTGCCACAGGAACAGAATTGGACTTGACCAGGAACAAACGCTGCCGGTCATTTTCTGCCCAGACCAGACCTATTTTCAGCCCTACAAAAAATGCGATCTAAAATTGTTAGCTCACTCTCTCTCTCTCAATAAAGTTGCACCAAATTTTCTATTTTAGCAAACTCTAACATGAATCTTATGGCATGCATCTTCGAGTTGTTTCTGCACCTCGTTATTAAATTCATCAATCTTAGGTTTGACAATGAGTCGGGCAGCTGGATTCTAAAAAAATTAAGGCCTGAACCACAAATTGAGGACTAATAACCAAACCAAGGCCAAGCCATCATGACCCTAAGGCCAGGCTGAACCGGGCCAAGGTTCTTATATTTCTTCATTTGTTTTTGGCCTAGCCTAGCTTGGCCGGGTCCTGAAAAGGCCGGGTGGACCTGAGCCAAGGCCTCTTTGGTCTGGTCCAGGTTGGGTCAGGCCTGGGCCAGCTGTATAAGGACAAGGGCCAGGCCAGGGCCACAGAAGCCCAGGCCGTTCCCAGCCCTAATCAAACTGAACTTAAGGCACTTTTCTCAACTATTCATAATTTTGAAAGCAATTAAATTCCAGGACTCTCCAGAACTTTAAAGTGATTAATAGCTTTCACATCCATATTCTTGCTCTCTCGTATTCTTTGTAGAATTTCTAGTCAACAAATTACATATAACAAATAATAATAAATCAGTTCCCTCTCAGCTTTAAGGCCTACAATAGAACATAACTTCTTTTGTCTTCCTTTTTCTTTTTTTTTTCTTTTTTTTTGAGGCAGTAATGAAGTTACTAACTGATTTGAGCCAGCTCTAAATCTTTTCAAGTCATGAAATGTAATCATAAATGTGATTATTCTTCGTTCAGTCCTTCTTTCCTTGGCCAAATAGTAAGTTCCAACCGTAGGTGTTGCTTTGTTGCAATGCCGCCTCCACTCGCTTTGCTCCAATCTAGAAGAACCATTTATCGGATAGCATGAGTCGATCTTTTTCCTTTTTTTTTCTTTAAGCATCAAATCATTGAATGATAAAATGGAAATGAAAATGATGAGTTAGATATTTCACCTTATCCATGACAAAGTAGCCAAGGGTTGGCATGTATTGCACTAGATACATGACAGCAAGTACAGGCTGCAAATAAGTCCATCTTATTAGATTTTGAACAGCATAAACTCATCTAGCTAATCCCATAAACCAAAAAAATTAAAAATTCATATTAATAAAGAGTATGTCAAGGACTTGAAATGACAGATTTCATGACCTACACAAAGAAAATATGTTGAAATGACAAAAGGTTCATAACATGAGACTGACCTGATATGAAATCCAAGCTTCCTTCAGTCCATGTGTTGCTGCAACAATGGTTAGCTCTGCACATCTTGATGCCGATACTCGTTCCTGTTGAGTACAAACATAATAAATGTAGTTAACTTGGGTAAATTTGATTTCATGAAAAGAGAAAGTTTACCATGCACCATTGGTGCATGGTATAGCAAAGGGGCATCCACCATCCATTCCCCATGACAGATGGTGGAGATTGGCAGAGACTGAAAATGTCGAAGTCTTAACAAAAAGGGACATCCACCAATGATACATGGTAATACCAAAGGGGCATCCACCATCCATTCCCCCTGAAAGATGGTGTATGATGGTAGTTTGTCCTTGTTTTCTTCATGTCTCTTTTTTCATCCTATGAAAGTTTCCCCAAGTTCTGCAAAGACACATTTCTAGTACAAAGACTGGCCTAAGGGATCCGAGCAAACTCATTTCAGATAGGTGCAATGTCATTCATTCAGTAACATGGAGCTAGGGCACAGGGACACAATAAATCTGGGAAGCCTCATAAGAAGGTGTTAAAAACTTAATTTCCTGCTTCAACTAGGACGTTATCCCACAAAACCAATTTCTTCATTTACAAGTATGCAGCAACATGATCCCAGTCACAAAATGTGCATTTTTTTAAATGTCAACCTACTCAATGGGGATAGAAGCACCTAGATCATTCAGGTAAGATATTTCCAAAAATCTAAAATTTAAGGTACACCCAATATAATAAATAAGTGACAGAAAAGCCTTCCAACTGGTCAAATATCACATGTCATACATTCTACACACATGGGACCTACAGTGGTCACCACTCAAGAAATATAAGTGAATAGTACCTCAGACGAACGCTTTTGCTCCGTTGCACTACCTGCTTGCAGGTTTTTTGAAGTATCTATGGGTCCAGGACAGACAACAGTCACCATAATTCCTTTCCCACAGAGCTGTAAGTAAGATAGAGAATAAATCACATCGAGACAGTATAAATTACTTAAAATTAACATTTCCCTGGTAGTTTTCTTCTTTGAGAGAAGCTTCATCAAAGACGAAATGATGTCAAATATATACATATATACAGAAGAAGCTGCCTATAGGTTGTCACAAAAAATGAACAGTAATTTAGATTATGCTCTCAACCGCCTGATCTTGATTGGCGGATTTCAAATGCATATTATTATTTGAATTTTAATCATTTTTTACAAATCAGATTAAGCTGAAATTTAGTCTATATACTATTACACACCATATAAAAATATAAAGAAATATTTATAAAATTTAAAACTACCAAATTACCCAATCATATTTTAGGGGTAGTTTAGTCATTTTAAGATAAAGAAAAAATTAATTTTATATTTTTTCTTTTGCACACTATATGTAATACACACGCCCAAAATTCCATATCTATCTGATTTATAAAACCAAATAGAACAATAATACATATTTTCAAGTATCCAATCAAGATCTAACAACTAGGAGCATAACCTAAACTACTATTCATTTTATGTGACAACCCATTGTTAGCATTGTCATATATATATATATATGAAAAAGTATTTAAAGAGACCATTTACTTTTGGTACAAGGAGGTCACAATCACTCTTTTCCTTTCAAATCTGGTGGTTCTAAGAGTGTCATTCACTAGTCTCAAAGTTCAAAAAAAGCATTCTCGAATTTTGTGACACATCCTAAGCCATCCAATTTGACATCTAATGACTAGGATTAATTGTGACTTCTTTGGAACAAAGATAAGTGTCTCATATACAATTCCTATATATATTTGGGGAAAATCTAAATCATTATCAACAATTTTCTGAACTACCAAGCCACCATATACATGCATAAAAGTGGCAAAGGAATGTGGAATGCATATTTAGCAACTGCTCGTGGAAATAGCTAAAGTTTTGGAAAACTGAGCAACTGCCTATAGAAATTGATCTACCCACCATTCCAAAGGCTACTAAACAAATCATAATATAAGAAAAAACAGTCTCATGCTGAAGATATTTTTAAAATGCAATAAATAGAGCCAAACACAAGTCAACCTCTGAACGTAAGGTATGGAAGTATCCATTCACAGCATGCTTGGAAGCAGAATACACAGCTTGACCTGGTGCAGGAGCCTTTCCTGCTGCACTACTCATCTGTAACAAAAAAAAAGGTAAAAAACCAGACCAGAAGTGTATTGAATTTAAATTATCATCGGTTATGTAGAAACTGACCAGGTATAGCATTGATATCAACTCAATACAAAGAATCAGGACTCAGGAGATGGTATTGACCACATGAATCAATAAATTAATTTCGAGCAACAATGCCAAACCAACTGATTTCTTGAACTTTTTTTTTTTTTAATAAAATTGATTTTTTGAACATACCACGATGAAATGACCCTTTCCCCTCTTCAACATGAAAGGTAGAAGTTGTTGGGTGAGTATGATTGTTCCGACGACATTCACATCAAATGTGGCCTGAGAGCTGAAAACAGATCAGAATAAAAGATATGTATATATTGGAACTAAATATCAGCAATTAGTAACAATTGTTTATTGCTTTTTTTTTATAAGAGTAACAATTGTTTATTGTTACTACCTTGAAAGATGCCTCAGTCACATCTAGAATTGACGTTTTCTGCAAAACCAAGAATTAGTTGTCAAGGCATATTAGAAACAAGCAATGCATCTTTTTACGGAAAGTATACTATAATCCTACAAACTATGGATAAACTATAGTCCATTAGGTGATCAGTCTCCATTGAAATGATGAATGGTGATATAGAGAGTTGGAATCATGACCGCGACAGTGGGTCTCACTCTTTCTCTCATCAGCCCTCACATGAGGTCATGATCCAGCATACAGCATACATCACAGAACCCCTAGTCACAGATCATAATTCAACATTTAACGGATTCCATGTTAGGGCATATATTACACATCAATTTTGGGCATTCTGAAGGAACAGGATATAAACTCACAGGGCGTTCATGAGCTGCATTGTGAACCATATAATCGACACCAGAATCAGGAAAGAAAGACTCTGCTTTCTCAACTGCTTCTTTTAATGACTCCTTGCCAGATGCCAAATCCAAAGGTAATATTTTAACTCCATGAGGAGCATGTTTACCTATACGTAGACCAAGCACAAACCAAGAAGAATAAAACTCACTAGAATATTAGTGAAAAGGAAAAGTGGGTTTAGTTCTCAATGCTAAAACACTAAAAGTTCAACCGCATACTTAAATGAAAATTCATACCTACAAGTTCAGCTTTGACACGCTCTAGCTCCACTTCTCGTCGCGCAGAAATGATCAGTTTCGCACCTAAATTAGCAAACTGTTTGGCAAGAACCTCCCCTGAAAAACAAAAATAATACTATCACCCACCATACGCTTGATTCCTCCTTCATGTTAGGAAAAGAATTTAAAAACTGTAGAAGTAGATGGGGAAATATTATGAGTTTTTGCTCGTTTCCCAAACTTTTCCTAACTATCAAGTAGTTCTGTTAATGAGTATGTCATTTATAATTTCTAAGAAAGAAAGTAATTCCATTTCGCTTCACTTTGGCCCAAACCATTGCTCTACAATGGCACAATGAGAAGATGTTTCTCTTCTCTGATGTATTCTTTCTGTGAAAGAGATCCAGTTAGCTTCATTTTGGACCAAAACACTCCCATTCTGTGGCTCAATTACCATGTTATGGATAGCTTGCATATAAGTCACAGAGGAAGCTTCATGATTGGCGGACACAAAGATCATAGCATCAAAGTAATGAAACAGTATGAAAGAAGTTGAATTATCTTGTCATACAAGATAACATAACCGCACCACAAACAACAATTCTAAAATTACCCTTTCAGAAATGACACCTTCCAAACACCATTTAAATAAGAGGATGCTGTGATTTTAGATCACATTAAGTACTTTTATAATGTCTGTTTAAGAAGAAACATTGAGAAGTGAATGTGTTTTTGAAGTGTCAAGTATGGGTGTTGTGTCGTTAGTGTAAAAAAACTTGTAAAAAGCCGGTCTATGCTACATGATCAATAACTTGCCTGTAAAATGGATCAATTAGACAGTTGCTGAGCGGGGGCAAGAAACAGTGAACTTGAGAAAAGAAAGTAAACCATAAATTTGTACAAACTTATAAAGGAACAAATTTTTGTTTGAAATAAAAATCATATATATATTGAGCAACACAATTACAGTCAAATTATATGAATTGAACTCCATGCATAGCAAATTTTTATGCACGATCGATTGGAGGTTTGATTTGAAAGTCTAAATGAATATAAAGGCAAAATCCAGATCGTAGCAGCAAAATTCACACAACTGATAACAAATTTCTCTTTTACTCACCGATGCCACCACTTGCGCCTGTAATCCACACAACCTAATCAATGGAAGAAAATCCAAACATTAAAAACTGACCCATCTCTCTCTCTCTCTCTCTCTCTCT